TTTCCCTATCGCGAGCTGCTTTCGTTTTCGGCCGTACCGGTTTCGGCTATCCCTTCGGTGAAATCGTGACTTTCTGCCTTGCACCACATATCGTGCCGAGTGAAATCTTGAGAACTCATATTCGGAATATAATGAAGCCGAACCGAGAATTATTGAATCCCAAATTCGTTGAGTAATACGTTTGCAATTGCTAGGACAGGCACGGTATGTCACGATCTCGAAGAATTCTAATTCACGCGTTAATCGGATTTCGAAACGCACGATTTCTGCACTCTGCAGACAAAAATTTTATACCCGCGATTGAAAATTATTATATATGACGCGATAATTGGCATAATGGGATTTTAATTAGAAGTCTCGACGTTGACAGCTTTGAATAGCAATATCGCGGAAATGAAAATTTGTGACGTAAGTTCTTCCTCTGCAATTACAGATTTCAGATTTTTTTGAAGACACAGTCAGTGTGTAGGTTTAGTGTTTCTCGTGGCTCTTTAATTTTGAGAAAATATAGCAATATCGCGGAAATGAAAATTCGTGACAGAAGTGCTTCCTCTGCAATTACAGATTTCCTGAAGGCACAGGTAGTGCGTGGGTTTGGTGTTTCGCGTGGCTGTGTAATTTTTAAAAAATCGGGGTCTCCTTAGAAGAATAGTGAACGGGATAATGGAAAGTAGGATCTTATATCAAAAACCTTATACCCGTGATGAAAATTATTATACGTGTCGCGATAATTGGCATAATGGAATTTTAATTAGAAGTCTCGACGTTGACAGCTTTGAGTAGCAATATCGCGGAAATGAAAATTTGCGATGTAAGTTCTTCCTCTGCAATCACAGATTTTTCTGAAGACACAGGTAGCGTGTAGGTTCGTTGTTGCGCATGGCTCTTTAATTTTGAGAGAATCGGGGTCTCCTTAGGAGAATGGTGAATGGGATAGTGAAAGGTAGGATACTTTCGTGTCTCTTGTTTCTATACCAGTGTATAGTAGTTCCATCCGGGTTGGGATAGTTTATCAAACTAGTGGATAATTCACCACAGCCTCTGGTCTCGCTCTATTAATCGCACAGCGAACAGAAGCGTCCATTCTTTCAAGCGCGATCTATCAAGCCAGTGTTACTGAACTTTCTACCTTGTACCGGGTGAAAGTCGCGTTTGCAGCTTCTTTTTGTCACGTTTAATTTCCTTGCATCTTGCCGTCTTTTTATATGTTTCGCTCGCTGATCTAGATATTTATACGAATTCAACTCGTTCTAATTAATACCGTTCATTCCATCGACGTGATAGCTCAAGGAGCATTGCATTCTCATTAGAGCATATATCATTGTTGGAGAATATCGTGATGGCGAACTGAGGCAGTCTGTTGATCGTAATTAATTAATTTACGATAATCGAAACGTGTCGCTGGCTTCTTCGGTTAATTAGCTCGAATGCGTTAACGAAAGGTCTAGATAGAGGAGAAAAATAAGCTGCGTGGCTGAGAGCGGGAATAACTAGCGTAATGCACTTTTAACCCCTGAATCGCATTTACTTGTGCAAGATAAAATCAGAAATCCTTTCACTTTCACGGGCTTCAAGGCGAGAATCTCACGTGCGACACGTTTCTGTCGCCCACGTTATCCGGAATAACAATAAACGCGACAATTCGTCACTCCGTGATACGTTTCGATAATCGTACTCGTGCATTCCATTGATACACCGACTGTTAAGACACGTACGTTTTTAATTGTGCGAAGTAAGTAAAATTCTTTCAGGCAGATTGAGAATTAAATGAAATTCAAGGTGGAAAAATTGCACATATATAGAAATACAATAGAAAAAATTTTTACATATTTAAAAAAATATATATATACAAGGTGTGCAAGAAGGTTGGGACCAAACTGAGACTATGTGTTACCGAGATTAAATAGACGAAAAAAGTTCATATAAACTTATGTCCGAAAAGGCTTTAAGGAAAAGATATAAGCGTTCAAAGATGTACGAACAAAATTCGCCTTACAATTCATTATAGAGAATCGTATACATAGTATAAATTTTCAATAAGGAATTTTTTAAAGGGAGGTGATTTTTTCTTTTTTTTCCTTTTAAATTTTCGAAGATTTCTTATAAGTGTCACAAACATCAAAAATATCTTCAAAGGCTTATATCATTTTAATATAGCATTTTCAAACATAGGTGTATATGAACTTTTTTCATCTATTTGACCTCAGTAACATATAATCCAAGTTTAATCCCAATCTTTTTGGACACTCTGTACATATATGTATATGTAAATAATTCAAGCATATATAAAAAAAGTATATAAATATATATGTGTATATGAAAATAAATATTAGACGATATTAATTATTATATTGGTATATATACGTTAAAATGATATATAATTATTATATCTACATGATATTATATATAATATAGACTATATATGAATGTATATAATAAGTGTATATATATACATAATGCTTGGATGAGGAAACAGGTTTCTATTCTACGTTCATTTCGTCAAATATTCGAAAAAGAACGATTCGCTCGTGCATGACGAATTGCGCGAATTGATTTCGCTTTTTTTCGCGAAAATGACGAGGCTTAATGTTGAGCGTTAAAGATCGATGTTACGCTTTTATCGCAGTTCGCAGAAACGATTTCAATCGACTCGTTACGC